AGCTAATTTTTGTATTTTTAGCAGAGATGGGGTTTCACCATGTTGGCCAGGATGGTCTCGATCTCTTGACCTCGTGATCCACCTGCGTCGGCCTCCCAAAGTGCTAAGACTACAGGCGTGAGCCACCACGCCCTGCCATGTTTTTTTTTTTAGTAGAGATAGGGTTCTGCTATGTTGGCCAGGCTGGTCTTGAACTCCTGACCTAAGGTGATCCATCCACCTCAGCCTCCCGAAGTGCTGGAATTACAGGCGTGAGCCACCACACCCTGCCTTAAATGGAAATCTTAAAGACATACATTTGTACCGAGTGAGCTAAACATTTGTCACCAAACTCACACAAAATGGCCGGGCGCAGGGGCTCACACCTGTAATCCCAGCACTTTGGGAGACCGGGGTGGGCAGATCACTTGAGGTCAGGAGCTGGAGACCAGTGTGGCCAAGATGGTGAAACCCTGTCTCTACTAAAAATACTCCCCAAAAATTACCTGGGCGTGGTGGCTCATGCCTGTAGTCCCAGCTACGCAGGAGACTGAGGCAGGATAATTCCTTGAACCGGGGAGGCAGAGTTTGCATTGATCCAAGATGGCACCACTGCACTCCAGCCTGCGTGACAGAACCAGACTCTGTCAAAAACAAACAAACTCACACAAAATGGGAAGCCCAGTAAGTTGTATGATTCACAATGTTAGTCTCACAGTAATTGCTGAGGAAAAGCAGTTAATATTATGGACTGAATGTTGTATACACACCCCCACCACCACCACCACCAGTAATATGTTGAAATCCTAATCTTCAATGTAATGGTATTAGGGAGTGGGGCCTTTGGGAGGTGATTAGGTCATGAGGGCGGAGTCCTCATAATGAGATTCTTGCCCTTGTAAAAGGAACCCTAGAAAGCTCTCATTCCCTCTCCACCATGTGAAGATACAACGAGAAGACAGCAGTCTAACCGAGAAGAGGACCTGCACCCTGATCTCAAACTTACAACCTTCCGAACTGTGAGAAGTTACTTTCTGTTGTTTATAATGCATCTAGTCTATGGTACTTTCTTCTAGCAGCCCAAATGGACTAAGGCATAGGAAAAGCAGGAATGCCTCCTTAAAACTTCTTTATTTCTTCAAGATGGTCTCGCCCTGTGACCCAGGTTGGGGTGTAGTGGCACAATCACGGCTCACTGCAGCCTCCATCTCCTGAGCTCAACAGATCCTCCTGTCTCAGCCTCCTGAGTAGCTGGGACTACAGGCATACACCGTCACACCCAGCTAATTTTTCTATTTTTTGTAGAGACAAGGTTTCGTTGCCTAGGCTGGTCTCCATCTCCCAGACTGTAGCAATCCTCCCGTCTTGGCCTCCCAAAGTGCTGGGATTACAAGTGTTAGCCCTCACATCTGGCCAAAACTTCTTAATTAGATAGAAACTCTGCTAGAGCACACCGACAGTGATTTCTATGTACTCTCCAACCATCTCTCCACTTCTAAGATCCCTAACATGATTTGGCAGGAATTACACAGGCTTCAGGTTCTCCCTTGGATGATGCCAGTTGAGCTCAGAAGAGAAACAGCAAACATTACTGTGGGCTTGCTGTGTTGCAAGGGTCTGCAGGCAGCTTCTGGGAAATAGGACCGGAAAGCCCCCAAGTCAAAGGTTGTCCCTGCCATCCCCTTGGGTGACATGAGCCTGTCTCACTTGTTTTACCCAATTTCATAACAAGCCCAATTCTTGTATATTTGAGTTTGTGATGCATTACCTAAATGGCCTCTTTTTGGTGGTCAGATAAGCTGGCCCAGCCAAAAGTCATCTGGCCCATTTCTCAAGTTCCATCAGAGTCCTAATTTCCACATCACTTCCTTTCAAATATGCCCTGTTGCTAGGTACTCATTCTTGGGTGTTGGTTACTTATTTAGAATGCAAATTCCTTACACCTTGAGGGAATCCTTCAAACTTTCCCACTGGACTCTACCCCTGGCTGATATCTGGGTCACAGTGATTGTTGATGCCATTGGCAGATGAGAGACCAGCCCTCGGTCAGCAGTCATGGTAGTAGTCCTGGCCTGGGGAGTTGGGAAGGGCGTCCTGGTGCACGCTCATCCAGCTTGTGCTGGGTGGAGAAAGCAGCTCCCTCAGACTGTGTCTGGGTCACGCTGCTCAACACCTGGCAAAGACCCAGCTTTCTAGGTTTGGCCCTATCTGGCCTCGGATCAGGAGGCTGTTCATATAGCAGCTTGGCCCACTTTCTCGCCACAGGGACTGCTGCCCAGAGGACTTAGCAGAAGTGTTGGCTGAGGCTGCAGTCCCAAGAAAGACAGGTGATTGCTGGCTTGGCTGCTTAACAGCTTGTAACTTTCAGAGCTTTGATATAAAAGTACTGTAATAATACCTCTCCTCCATGAATAGTGTTTAGCTTCTATTTTGTATATGCAACAGTGTCAGGTACATGACAGGCACTCAACAGCTGCTACTACCATTTGTTGAGCACTGACCATGTGCTCTTTACTATCCCTGATACTTCTTGACAACCGTATAGAATTATCCTGTAGTATAGCTGTGGAGGTTCAGAGAGGCCAGCTCCTCAGGTCACATAGCTAAGAGAAGACCAAGCATGTAAATTCAGATGAATCTGTCTCCAGGCTGGTCCCAGTGGCTCACACCTTTAATCCCAGTACTTTTGGAGGCCAAGGCGAGAGAGTCACTTGCACCCAGGAGTTCAAGACCAGCCTGGGCAACATAGTGAGGCCTCATCTCTACAAATAATAATTTTTTAAAAATTAGCTGCACATGGTGGTGTGCCTGCGGTCCCAGATAGTCTTGTAGCAGGACAAGTCACAGACAAAACCCCTCAGACACTGAGTTAAAGAAGGAAGCGGTTTATTCAGCCATGAGCATCAGCAAGACTCCTGTCTCAAGAGCCGAGCTCCCTGAGTGAGCAATTCCTGTCCCTTTTAAGGGCTCACAACTCTAAGGGGGTCTGCTTGACAGGGTCG